ATGAAGCGAAAATACGATTATTTTGCTCCGGGACCCGCGAAAATTTATACGAAACGTTCGCTTTTATTTAACGACTTCGGGTGCGTTTGAAGTGAGCGGAATGTAAAGGCGATTGAGTTTTGTTATTTGTTCGTTCCAGCCAAATGACGTACGTACACTGCTGGAGAAAGGTCTTCTTCAAGGATTTCCACAACGACCAATCATCATCATTCATCAGATCGTCGATGCACCGGTCATTGATTAAGTTTTACTCAAAGAGTTTGAAGAGAATTCTTTTCGTGACATTTCTAGAGTCGATGAAAGGTGCAGTATGCTTACCATGAGTTTACGTAGGTGTGCTTGCTAGCGAGTAGGTACGTCAAAAAAACATATGAAGATTTTATTTCTTGAAAGTATTCGCGAGGGGTCCTGCACAATATGTCATACATTTATGTAATTTTTTTACGTAGTCGCTAGCAAGCACACCTAACGTAAACTTATGATAAGCACACAGAAAACGGTTGGCACTCGATGCATACAATTGTTCGCAAAATGTCATGTAGGATTCCCCTAAACCGATAGATTTCTGTCTCAATAAATAACTGCCAGTGCGGGGTACGGGATATATTACTAATTGAACTGCTATTTGGAGTTAAAATTCATAACAAGCTAGCTAGCATTAAAAGTCAATAGCTTTAAAAAATAATAACATAAAGTTCTTTGATCATGTCTATTAGGATTTAAATCCACCACAGCTTATAAAATCGCTTTCCGCTCCGCTCATGGCACCACATCACCACCCTGCAGCCAAATGATGAAAATTAGCATATCTGTGATTCAGGTCGACTTGCATTTGTTTATTTGTCGTATAATTTGCCACTTTCTTGTTTCTACGAATTTCATTACGATGTTTATGATTTTCAAGTTTCCACGCCACTTTTCGCTGGGAATTTTCGGCCATCATCATTTTCTGGAAGCACCCTAAATGGGTGGACGAATATTTTCGACTAATTTTTGGGCCGAATTGTAATAATGTTTGTGCCTTTTTTATGAAGGAAAGTTAAGAACAAACATTTAGCAACCACAGATTAGTGTTTTAGCTATTATAGAGTCCCCGTAGACTATAGACTTTTATCGATCAATAGTTTGGTTTGCTCCTGTAAAAGTAATTAAAGCCTAACCTAAACAAATACTTTCTTATGATTAAAATCAGGTCAAAATTATTAAGTCACTAGCTGACCCAGCGAACTTCGTACCGTTTATGTTCGTCAGAAATAATGCAGAATTCTTATGGTGAAAGAATTTTTCAAATCGGTCCAGTAGTTTTGGAGCCGATTCAATACAAACAATCAAATTCTCCTCTTTTTACCCGACTGCGCCAGAAGGAGCGTTATGTTTTTACAATTACGAGTAGACTACGAGTTATGTATTTTTTTTCACTCACAATGTCATCTCACATAGTCATAATACTCATGCGCTTTAATTTCCATGCGTCATTTGGTCAGATTTGACAGTAGCTGTCAAACTTGTCACCCGACCCTAACGCGTCTACGATATAATCTCAATCCGTGCTGACGCTTGCAGGGATCGCGTAAGGGCAAATTCCTTGTTAGAAAAGTCACAAAATAGATAGATTCAGAAGACCTGTATGTATGTAGATCGTTTCATCCACGAAGACGCGCCCCACCAATTTTTGGTCGAGGCAGAGTAAATATAAATGAGTAGGTCATCTTCATAGAAATGCACCGAGCGCGGTTTGTATGTGAGCGCGTCAATACGTATGCGGCGCGCACGCACACACTGACAAAATTCAACGCAACACCCCGCTAATGCACGCTAAATTCTGTCAGTGCGCGCCGCATACGTATCGGCGCGCTCACATTCAAACCGCGCTCGGTGCGTTTCTATGAAGATGACCTACTCATTTGTATTTACTCTGGTCGAGGGAAGCGTGGGGTGCGGGGAGTTTGATCCGAGCAATCCGAGCGTCATTATTGTAGTGTGCGTGTGCACATGGATTTAGCGTGTAGCGATAACACGCAAACATTAGCGGAAGAAAGGTGGACTCCTCTTCGTGGATGAAACGATATACAGGGTGTTAGGTAAATGGGTATATGAGCCGATACTAGCCCATGTTAACATGGTCATATAAATGGTATGGTGAAGTCAGAAAGGACATTGTCAGAAATCGCCTAAAAAACCGCCCAAAAACATGAACCCATCATAATTATTTTCTAATTTTTTTAATACATTAAGCACCCTTTCATTCTANACTCGCTAAGCGTGCGCGACACACGGGTGTGCGCGATGAGCGTCGCCGGGCAAGTGGGGCTTGCTCCGACCATTGGACGATGGTAGGAAAATAAAGTTGGCGAAGCAAATGTGAGAATACCCGCCAATATTTTTACAAGGACTGAACAATCTTGGTCTATGTGAATCATAGTGCATCAAAACGCTTTCCTCGCATATTGACTTGATAATTGATTCACATCCTGTGGTCATTGTCATGATCACACAAAACAAACCATCTGATGACGTGGGGAAATATGAATCGATAATGGAAAGTCCCACCAGGTTTATGCAGCTCGATTATAATTACATATTAATTTATTGTTATCAATCCATAGTTATTCCACTTCAATTTAGCAAAGTATAACTCAGACTTTAATGCACGGACGAAGGATATCAAAGTAAGCACTGTGGCACCAATGTAGTTGTAATAAGTTCCTTTTTAACCGACTTCAAAAAAGGACGACGTTTTTTGTTCGACTGTATGTATCTTTTTGCAATAAAATGTAGAGTCTGAAGCACTGTTAATTTATCTGCACAACATTAAGTAGGTACCTACTTTTATCGGCTGTAATATTGATTCTTAATTCGTAAATGCAAAGAAAAATACAAAAGCCCATACACGCTCCAAATAAGGGACAAATCGAATTTTCAGTCTTGAATAGACTAGCCAAAGCTAAGTAGTAAATTTTAATTAATCACCATTAATAGAAGAGTTAGTGTAATTTCTTGCAGCAATTTTCATATTTTCAGTTTCACTACTCTAGTTCAGTTAATATTTCGTAGTAATAGCTTAGAGTGAAACGATTGTAAATATTTACACTAACCTTTGAAGATTATTTATGTAAAAATATTTCATGTTTATCAAAAAATATCTTAACTGACCGAATCTTTAACTTTTGGCTGTTGCAATCAAATATAAATAATAAATAATCTGCAAGTTTATCTTGATGTTTAATTATTTGATTTACTGGTAAAACGCATGTACGGTCTTTATCAGTTGCCGAATTTGTATGTCACCCTGAAGTTATTTTTAATAGGTAATTGGACTATCGGTATCGACTTTTTAAAAGGTTACCGCAAAATATAATAATGGTTTCATCATCTCAGTTTATTTAATCTTCTGGATAAAAAATCGGCCAAGTTCGAGTTGAACTCGTACTAAGGGATTTATTATTATTATTTATTTATTCCGTATTGTTATAGCGGCACTAAACATTCTGTGAAAAAAGTTATAATGGACCTATTACGATTCATGAGATACAGTCAGAAGACTGACGGCGACTTAGAATATACACTGGCCTGCAGTATTAAGTCTACTCGTACACTTTGAAATTTTATTTTTTTCTAAACTTTAAAAGGTAGAGATTTAAAATAAAAAACGTTATACTCATAGGAAATCTTATTAGCTTTCTTATAGCTAAAGTAAATATTAAACGCTTTTTCGAGACCTTTTTATTCCGGAAGTATAGTTTGTACCTACTTAATGCTATAATGTAAATATTTCTACGCCACAAGTGGCAGAAGGTGCTGAACCCGTTCTTATTTAATATCTTGTTACCACTTTCTAAGAAAGAAATGTTTTTGATTTGATTTGATTTGATTCAAAGTTATTGAAATTTTATAAGTGTGATAAGTAGGTATTTACTTTTGCAGGCCAGTGTAGTTCCGTAGGTTTTACGGAACCCTAGAAATGTTACGTTTAAAGGAAAACTGTCAAAAAACAGTTACAAGTCCTAGGAACTGATATAACTAGACACACTATTATGCTGAGTAGTGAGATTTCAGATAAGTATTTTTCTCGTGAGAAATTGAAAACTAAGATAATGTTACGCTTACTACAGGAGAGTAAAAAATATAACTGGGTTATCATTTGCGTAATTTACTCACTCACCTACATACTAATAAGACTGTAAATTAACCCATCCGATTCTTTTTTATTTGTAATAATTGTGTGTCCATATTTTATTTTTATCCAATTTCTTTCAGTAATCCTGATACAGGGGTAAAAAAATCTGCTGTAAAATAACGACAGATTTTTTTTCAGTTATTATTACGGTAAATTTCCGTGGCCTGATCTTATTTACGTAATTTATTATTATCTTTTTATATAAATATTATTGTTTGTATTCAAAAATAGATAGAAATTCCACGTCTTCCAGCTGCTGAAACGAGATACGACCATTGAAAATTATATCAAGTATCTAAATTGAATGATTACGCGATGTTGTGTTAGTGGTTTCATAATAATTTGTACGCACGCACTCACCAATGCTTACAAACATTTTAAAATTGAAGGTTAAACGTATGTGATAACTGATAAGGTAGTAGTTAATTTGTGAAAGTGTATCACTATTTCAATGAGGTCATCACGTTTCACGAAAAATGTTTTTACTACGCGACGCGGTAAACACAGATGGCATAAGTCGACTCGTCATAATTGCCTATGCTAATTACAACGTATTACACTATGTATTTGTCATTAGATGATCAAACGAACTTACCAAGTGAAGTTCGATCTAAATTATCCTGTTTTCGCCGAAGAGATTTAAGTTACCGTGTAGTACCCCTGTACGACAAGCCNAATAATAGAGAAGCTAATATTACCCACCAATACCTGCTAAACTTTAAGATTCCTAGGAACTTATCCCATAAGCTGTATCTAACTGCCAGTATATTGCCCTCTGTCATTAGCGTGATATCCAGACATAAACATTGATTTTAATTAACAGGTGCAGAGCCCCAAAACAACGGTCACAGCTCGGCAGCGACAAGCCCGAGCGCGTCCAACGGGCGCTCCGCTTTACTGGATGCCATCTGCGGCTTCGACAAGTCGCGGCTGGCGCGCGCGCCGCGGTGAGAGGCGGCCGCGCTGGCGCACCGCCTCGCCAGGGCGCTGCGCTCGGCCTCCATGTATGGGCTGCGCGACTCCGACGTTGACCCATTGCTGTAGTAACCGCGATGGTGTATCGATTATTAATTGTTAGTGCAAACGGAGTCTAACTAACTATAGTCTGGTCCGTGAGCACGTAGAATATAATTTTGTCCAATGACCCCTAGCTACCCATCCTTATTGCTCACGCGTTAATTATGTTGCTATCGCGCTCGCACACTCACTGCGGATGCCAGTCGCACAGTCGCGACAGCAATATAATTACGCGCGAGCGATAAGGATGGGTAGCTAAGGGTCATTGGACAAAATTCTACGTGCTCACGTACCGGGCTTTAATTAATCGATGATTATACTGTCGTGAAACTAAGATTTTGCTGTGAATTTGGGATACAAGTCTATAGCGCTTCAGCCGGTCGCTCCGCCCTACTGAAGGCCATCTGCGACTTCGACAAGTCGCGGCTGGCGCGCGCGCCGCGGTGAGAGGCGGCCGCGCTGGCGCACCGCCTCGCCAGGGCGCTGCGCTCGGCCTCCATGTATGGGCTGCGCGACTCCGAGGTTGATCCTTTGCTGTAGTGTTGACGGGTAATCGATTAATAATCGGGGTAGGCGGGGCCTAAACTAAAAAAATCTATTATTAGGTATACTGTCGTAAAACTAAGATTGATATCTACTTCATCGATACTATCAATAGCCTATTGCGTCAGCCGGTCGCCCCACTTTAGCCTAGGCGCAGACCGACCACCAACTTTTAGTTGGCCGATAGTTGGGCCCGATTCTAATGAAGAATCAGCCAATAATAAATCAGTGTAATGTGCGCACTTTCATACATCTCCATACTGATTAACAGCCCGACCCAACTATTGGCCAACTAATGGCGCAATTTCACTAGTCGATAGGGTCCGCATGCGGTGTGCGAGTTTTCTGGAACGCGTGCCACAGGGCCCGCAATCTAGGTGCGAAGTTTACTAAAAAATAGAAACAGGCATGGCGCGTCTGAAAATCTGAATGATGAATTTCATTGGTCGATAGCACGGTCGGTATAATGCATGCGGGGAGTCCCCGCATGCTGTATACTGAACCAGTTATCGACTAATGAAAATGCGCCATAAAAGTCGGTGGTCTGCGCCTTGGCTTACTGGATAGGTACCATCTGCGGCTTCGACAAGTCGCGGCTGTGAGAGGCGGCCGCGCTGGCGCACCGCCTCGCCAGGGCGCTGCGCTCGGCCTCCATGTATGGGCTGCGTGACTCCGACGTTGACCCACTGCTGTAGTAACCCCTATAGTGTATCGATTATTAATCGATAGTGTCGAATTAGTTATATCTTTCACGAATGACAATTACATCGATCTCTACGCGTCGTTAATATCCTCTTCAAGAATTTATGTCATCGGTAGTCCCTATTTCACGAATACATCGATTTAATGTCCATAGTATCGTCTCAATTGAAGTATCTATTAATCGATGATAGTCACCTGGATATCTTCGACCAAAGGAAGCATACATTTAAGAAACATGTCAAGGATGCCCTCAGCCAAGCTACCCATGACTCGTCATAAATAATGTTGAGGAACTCTTTGTTTTGTTTTGTTTACTCTGCAGTTTATTAACACTTTCCGATTTATTTACCTATATATACAATATATGTGTACCTAATGCATGTATAACAAATCTGTGAAAACATATTTAGGGTTACATTTTAGTCTATATCTACATTTAAGTATTATTTAAACCATGTAAAGAATGTAATCTGTTTTGTTTTCCAAATAAATAAAATTAAAATTAAATTAAATCGATAGTCCTAACAACTCTACTTTGACAAGTCGCGTCTAGCGCATCGCCTCACGCGAATGCTCCGCTTCGCTTTAATGTATGCGGTGGTGAGCGAATCGGAGGTTGACCCTTTACTGTAGAATTCCCGGACCATCGATCGCATCGATTTTAATCGGGGCAAATATGGCCTAAAATAACTATGTAATTAATTCTGACGTAAAACTAATATCGATGTCTATTTTATCGATACTATCAATAGGGGGGCATAAAGGATTTCGCAACACTACCTTGCTATGAGTTAGAGAAACAAGTCTACCATAATTAAATGATCAAACGAACTTACCAAGTGAAGTTCGATCTAAATTATCCTGTTTTCGCCGAAGAGATTTATTTTACCATGTAGTACCCCTGTACGACAAGCCAATCCGCACACAATATTCAGCGCAGTAGTAGTAAAAAACAAAAGAGCGGGCAACCCCACCCCTATCACGCTGTGGGCTCGGTGTCCGAGCGGTCTCATTATATTTAGAGAAGAGATGACATTGACGTTTACCTCCAGGGAAGAAGATATAGAAATCTTCGGGTTGGGAGGGACCTTAAATCTCTTCGGCGAAAACAGGATAATTTAGATNGCGTCGCCGGGCAAGTGGGGCTTGCTCCGACCATTGGACGATGGTAGGAAAATAAAGTTGGCGAAGCAAATGTGAGAATACCCGCCAATATTTTTACAAGGACTGAACACACTCATCCATTAACGATCGCAGTTGGGAGTGTGAAGATTGATTACTGAAACTGTGTGAAGGTCTATCAGGTAATCAGACCCCTTTTACAAGGGCAGAACTGAAATAGGACTTGATTTTTTTAAGCTCCTCGCTGAACGTTTCCCGAAACTAGCGAATTTCGGGTGGTAAAAAATGGGCTCGATGATGGGCAGTACCTACCTTTGTGAGAGTGCCCAGAATACGGTTACAAATGGTTATAAAAAGAGAAGTTTTCAACATATTCTATCGTACATACGATGTGCAAATATTACAAAAAATACGGTTGTTTTTAATATTAAAAAGTAGTATCATTATTAATTGAATATCATGCAAATGTCAGAAAATGATTATGAATTATTGAAATAGCACAAATATATTATTACATTAGATTCATAGGTACAATGTCAATGACACATATTGACATATTTTAAGAAATTTTTAGATGTCAAGTACAAAATGTCAAAAAGATTTTTCGGTCAGGAATTCATTGACTGTGTAATACATCTTTTGTTTTAAGAATTCTAATAAATTATTTCTAAATTTAGTAAATGTCAATGTTTTAATATCTTCGGGTAATTTATTAAATATTTTTATTGCCATACAATAAACATTCCTTGAGTAGAGGGTCAATCTTTGTGGGGAATTCTCAAATTTTCAGTTTTCCTGCCTCTGTACCTATCAAAGTCTTTGTTTTTATCGAAGAGATTTATTTATTTATTTATTTTTATTTTATTTTATTCAGAAAACCAACAGTAATACAATACAAATAATGGGACCTTAAATTATGTATCTGCTTAGCCATTTATAGGTAATCGCAAATGGAAATGGAAATTTCGATTTTTGTTATAAGATACATGTATCTTATAACAAAAATCGAAATTTCCAGGTGATGATAATAACATTTATTTATTTATTTATTTTTATTTAATTAAAATGCAAGTGAGCTTACAGATAGATCCAAAGCGCTCACATTAATGTTAGTAACATGGTAAACTTAAAAATTAAATTCTTATAGTCTCTATTCAACAACACTAAAATTAAAAGAATTTGGCAGTTTCACTTTTTTCACTTTAGCATACACATGGTCGGTCACTTGCACTAGTATAATGTGTGCCGGGTTTTCGCTGCTGGTCTCTGGGAAGCCCGTTATCTCAATGTCGTTTCCCAAGATTTCCTGATCTCTGTGCTATCTTTTCTTCTAAGTCAGACGCCACACAACTATGCGAATTGCTCGCTGCGGTCTCGAGACACTCAAATGCGGTTTTCTACAGAGTCCAGACGCACGCTCTGTGTTTTGATGGCAGAAGTTAGTTCTGACATTGTGGAACGTAACAAATTCATTTCTGTGCGCATAGCGCGCATCTCCTCAACGAATTGCTTGAAATCAGGCGCCGCACCCGCCGGGATAGCATGCTCGAAAGTTAGCTGCGAGATGTCACTGCTGGATTCAGCAACTTCAGGCAGAGTAAATACAAATGAGTAGGTGAGTGTAAGAGGGTAGCTGCATGTCCTCTGAAACAAAAATAATAATACATAGCTTACAACATTGGACTTAAGTTCGGTCGCCGAGCATATAGAATTTCGTCCAATGATCCCAAGCTCGCGACCGCGATGGGCGGCCGCAGTGAGTGTGCGATAAGGATGAGTAGCTTGGGGTCATTGGACGAAATTCTATGTGCTCGGCGACCGGACTTAATCAACTCTTGAATCACCTTTAGGAAGTAAATCTCTACCTACCAATTTCAAACTCCCCCAGAACTTCTGCAGGAGCCTGCCTGGTTGTATGACTTCTGCAAATAATAAACAAATTGTTAAAACAAGGAATAAAATATGTAGTCAACGTCAAACACTCCAAAATAGCCACAAAAGTTCGAGACATCTTTATTACAATTGGAATAAGTTTTTGTTGTTAAGTTTTTGGCCACTTTGGGTGTCACTAATTATGTGACGCTGCCTGTAAATAATTATACAGTCAGCGCCAAATAGTTTGTTACACTCAAAGTAGCCAAAAGTTCGTAACACGTCTTTTGGTCACTTTGTGTCACGAACTACACTGGTCATCACAAAAATCGACCCACTTCCCACCAATATTGGCACCATTTTAAAGCCTAGTTCTAAACTTCATTTCATTAAAGGAAAGGTTTTTACCCCTAAAAAGTGTCTGTAGAACAGTGGTTCTTAACCGGTGGTCCGCGGACCACTGGTGGTCCCTGGAGGCATTCCAAGTGGTCCACGAAGACATCGTAATAAACAAGTGACGTGACGTGATGAGTCAACACAACGCAAACGGCGCACAGTGGGCGAGAAATCGACCCCCCCTTTCATAGGATATTGAAAAAAAAAAAAAAAATAAGTGGTCCCTGACAAGACAGAAATTTGGTAAAATGGTCCCTCGTGACTTAAGGTTAAGAACCACTGCTGTAGAAGAATCCAAAATCACTTCTTCAAAAAATAGGTTTCAACTTTTATGGCTATAAAACTGTTAAGTTGGGATTAATCGCTATCCATCTGGTAAAGAGGACACGTGAGATCATTATTTGGTTTTATATCCACATTAATTGGTCTACTTGATCCCAGAGGTGAGCCCCAAGTGAAGCCTTTTTTCAAGTCTCATTTATGTACCAGTTAATTGTTTATCAAAAAAATGAAACGTGTTTTTCTTTATGTTTATTTATTGGGCTTTCAAATAACACCAATATTGTTGGGGCACCTGTGTCCGAAGAAAATCTTTAAAGTTCCCGTCGCAGAAGGTGCGATTTATTTGATGTTGAGTGTATTTGACGCTGACTGTACTTTGTGACTTGTACCACAGAATAATAATAAGTACTACGTACAGAAGTTTTACTTCGCGAAGGTATTTAAAAAAATGTATGCTCAATGTCATTAACAATATGGTGTAATTTAGCTTGTCTCAAGAGTCAAGCAAGTTTGTCAGAAGTTTTGTTGACAAACGTCAGTGATCGGTACTGCGCCGAAGCTATAGGGCTGACTTCGGTAAAATGATGTGACGTGAGGTGCCAATCTGCAGAAAATGGCGGAGGAATACATGATTTAGCATGAATTATCATGAATAATATTAACTACTTATTTACCTCTCAGTGTCTTCAGGCAACTTAAAAAAGTACATTCTGTGTTTTTATTATTATTTAGGAAGTTAAATACTGCACAGTATTTAGTGCACCATTTTCTTTATTTTTTTCCATCATACACAAGAATACGCGTGCGTGAGTCAATGTTCGCTCGTATGTGAGGCCTTGTCGAATAGTATCCTGTAGGTGAGCCATCGTGCGTGTTTTGTTTTTGATGTAAACTCGCGGATATGAACAGGCCTGCTTGTACTACATGGAATAATAACAAAAATGTAGAATTTACCCAGAATGACGACTTGTTGCAGCGATGTAGATGGCTGACGTCCACGAACACACCGCAGCATTCCGTTCAGGATATGGTCTTCTGAAAATAAGATAAATTCGAGTAAATATTGAAGTAGATACAACCCAAAAAAATATTTCAACAAAAATCTTTTTTGAAATGTATTAAACTTTTCAATAAATTACCACAAACTGTTGTAGAATTGCCCATTCATAAATTTAAAGCACATATGAAAAGCACTTTAATGAAAAAGGGCTACTATAAAGTTGATGATTATAAAAAAGATAAAAATGTTTGGAATGTTTAACTACCTAGCTCGCATTGATGCGAGCTAGGTAGTTAAACATTCCAACACTTATGACTATAATTTGTATCTTTTAAAGACTGTAAACCCTTGAAAAGGAGGCTGACAATAGTGACTGAGTTTCTTGCGCTGCTTCTTCTCAGCACTGGCCCATTTATTGTCCCGTAGCAGCGATAGGGTTTTAATATTGGGACGTGTAAAAGTGCTTTTTAAAACCCTATTTGCAAAAATTAATTAGTTTTTATGTGACAGGAGTACAGGACCTTACTGACCTCGTCTTTTGCTGGGAGGCCGTATAAAGAGGTTTCGTTCGTCGTCGACGGCGTCCTCATGTGATATTTTCTTGTAAAAATATTATTTATTTACACACACACACACATTTACTATTTTCACAGGCTAACCATGAAATGCTGGCTAATAATGAAATCGCTCTTGAAGAATATAATAATGCTAAATCCAGTTGCTTTACATTAATAAATTATTAAGTTAAAATGGCTCCGCCCTGTGCGGAGACGGAGTAGCTTTGATGAGTGTGGTCGAGGCTGCGCGCGCACCCAGCGCTAGTGATGTATCGCGGCACTAGTGATGCGGATATAAATAAAAATGAATTGATGTTCGTTAGTCTGATTAAAACTCGAGAACGGCTGGGCCGATTGAGCTGATTTTGGTTTTAAAATGTTTGTCGTAGTCCAGAGTAGGTCTAAACGGTGAGCAAATACGCGCGCGATATTGTTCTTCTGTGACAGACAAAATTTCACGCGGGCGAAGCCGCGGGCGGAAAGCTAGTTTACAATAAATTCAAATAATAACACCGCGTTACAAATGAAAAAAAGAGTTAGTTAAAGTTAAAAAGTACCCGCTTTGAAATGTCGTGTTTTCTTATTAAGTCCTATCGTTTAGTAGGTAAGAATACATGGATATTTATTATTTAGGTATACAAAATATAAGAAA